TTTTTTTTGAGACGGAGTCCCACACTGTCGCCCAGGCTGTAGTGCAGTGGCTCGATCTCAGCTCACTGCAATCTCTGCCTCCTGGGTTCGAGCAATTCTCCTGCCTCAGCCTCCTGAGTAGCTGGGACTACAGGTATGCACTGCCACGCCCAGCTAATTGTTTTGCATTTTTAGTAGAGTCTGGGTTTCACCATGTTGGCCCAGACGGTCTTGATCTCCTGACCTCATGATGATCGCCTGCCTCAGCCTCCCAAAGTGCTGGGATTACAGACGTAAGCCACTGAACCTAGCTGGTTTTTGCATTTTTAAAGGACTGTGAAAGAAACAGAAAAGAAACAAAGAGAAATATGCAACAGAGATCATATGTGGCCCACAAAGCCTAAAATGTTTACTACCTGACCTTTTCAAAAAAAGATTTGAGAAAGTTGGTTTAGTAGGACGAAATGAATTAAAGTTAACTTCACATTGTTGCCTGAAAGAGAAGAAAATATAGACCACTACATTCATTTGAACTTCATCAATCCAGAATTTTTTGATAATTTAATCTGAATTAAATTAACATTTAAATACTAAAAAATCAGCTGAATTATATAAATAATATTATCCAGAATATTAAGCTACCAAGATAATAGACTGGTATTAAGGATTTCATTTTAGGAATTGTTATAATAAAACATGTTTAAAATGATGGTCAAGTGTTATAGCTACAAATGTTTACACTAAGTGAGTGTGTCAGAAATGCCCCTAGGTCTTCAATAATTACAAAATAACTGTCTCCTCAACCCTATTTCCAAGAAAGAGATAACTGCATAGTATTTCTGTCTGTTTGTGAAGATACTATGTTCATTGCTATGAAAGCTTGATTCTTATCCTCTGTCCATACCACCTTATACCAGAGGTGTGTATATCATTAATCCTTATAAAGCTCATTAGTGATGCTCTTTGGCAAACAGATTCTTTCAAATGCAGAAGACTTAAGGAAAGTGGGTATAAGACCCTCAAGTGGATGCCAAAGTGCTACAGAGGCCACAAATTAATAAAACAACATTTCCTTTAAAATAGTCATTTTCCTTCTACGCACTACTCACTCCCCCAGCTATCCATTTATTTTGCAAATATTTGAGTTTGCTTTATTTCCATGTGTCAGTTTTAAACATGGTGGGCAATGCAGATGAGCAAGACCTAGTCCATGCTTTCAAGGAGTTTATGCTTGGAAGAAACGGGATGAAAAATAACTACATTTAAAAAGAAGAAATAAATGTGGGCACTAGGAGGAATAAATTGTTTCTGGAGCATAGAAGAGGGGGAAAATGACTTCAATTTGGCCCCAGGAAGGTGTCGCTAGAACAATGCCATTTGAATAGGACTTTGAAGGGCCATTGTGTAACATTGGACAGACATCTTGGGGAAAATATTCTAAACTTGCAAAAGGAAAATGGGAGAAGGCCAAAACACAGGAGTGTATTTGAGGAATGCCATGAGTACCTGTAGAGTACAAGGAGGGAGAGTAGGAAATTGGAACCAGATCTTCTAGGGCTTTGAATGCCAAGCTCAGGAGCCATCGTGGGGAACCGTGTTATCACAGCAGTGCTGTAAGATAGATCTGCCTCACAATCACTGGGAGGGCGCGTTAGAACTCAGTTCTGGACTCCACCCTCATAGTTACTGATTCGGTTCGTCTAGAGTGGGACCAAGAATTTGCATCTTCAATAATTTCCCAGGAGATGCTGGTCTTTGCAAGCCACTTCTGGAGAGTTTATATGATGACTGTGTATAGGGTAGTTTAGGAAGAGAGAGACCAGAGATGGAGACATCAGCCAGACAACATTACACCATCCAAGTAAAGAGGAAGGGACAAGCTGACAAGTGGAATCAATAAAAATAAGAGAGCCAACTGTCGTCAAGAATGGGTGTTGACTATACTGGTTTTTATTCAAAAAGTGAAAATCCAGTTCCATGTTGTTTTTGTTGACCCATCACTATAAAACTGAAGAAATTGCTTCCATGAAATATTAAAGCAATATAAAGCCAAAAATGAATTTCTATTAATATGATAGAAATTCTGTTAATATGATTTGAATTAGTTCAAAGTTATGTGTTAAATGGTTGACTTCCTTCCAAATGATATGAAAGGATGTCTTTTATTTCTTCTGATATTGAACTGGCTTAGGAAAACAGACCTAAACTAGGAAGGTATATAAATGTGAAACTATTCCTTTTAATATTGGAAACTATATGTAGAGATAAAAACTTTGAGCTCATAATCTGGGATTTGATGAGACTACAAAAGGGCATCTAATCAAGTCTACTGCTCTCAGGAATAATTTATCCCAAAGTCTATCAAGATCTATAGTTGTATATTTTATTTATTAAGACCATGAAGGTAAGACTCCAGGAGAGGTACAGGCAGGGTTAGGAGCTCTGGACAGTTTAAATACACATCCAAACGTTTAGAGCTTAGATGAAAACTGTGTATTCAATACTATTCTAAACTCTTGCTATTTATTCATACTAATTTGACATCTAATAACTAATCAAGGCAATATTTTCCTTTTACTTTTCCTAGAGATTTATCCTGCAATAAAATACAGTCTATTGAAAGATATACATTTGAATCACTACCATTTTTACAGTCTATGTAAGTTACAAATAAAACTTGATTTGGAATTTTTATAAAACTTAATTATAAACCTCTTTGCTATTCATTTTGAAATATGATTAAAATTTTACCAGTAGAAAGTTAAGTAAAATTATATAGCAAATCCTTTTTGTCTCTAGCAAAGCTTAGTTGAACATTATTACACAGATCATAGTGAATCATCACAGAGCAGTGGTTCTCAACTGGTGTGATTTTTGTACTCAGGTGACATTTGGCAATGTCCGGAGACAGTTTTGGTTGACAGTTTTGGTTGACAAAACTGTGGGTGTGCTCCTGACATCTGGTGGGCAGAGGCCAGAGATGCTGCTAAACATCCTCCAGGGTACAAGACAAACCCCCACAGCAAAGAGTTTTGTTTGGTTTTTTTTTTGAGACAGAGTCTCGCTTTGTCGCCCAGGAGTGCAGTGGCTCGCTCTCAGCTCACCTCAGCCTCTACCTCCCGGGTTCTAGCGATTCTCCTGCCTCAGCCTACCAAGTAGCTGCAGGTACCCACCACCATGTCCAGCTAATTTTTTGTATGTTTAGTAGAGATGGGGTTTCACCATGTTGGTCAAGCTGGTCTCAAACTCCTGACCTCATGATCCGCCCGCCTTGGCCTCCCAAACTGCTGACATTAAGGCTTGAGCCACTGAGCCTGGTGGCAAAGAGTTATGGAGACCAAAATGTCGATGGCACTGAAGTTGTGAAATCCTGTTCCAGAGAAATAAAGATCACTAAACACAAGTATTTACTGAGCATTCACTGTTTTGTATCTAATGTACCACATGTGCAATGTTAAAGTATAAATCATAAGCTAGTATCGTCCAGTGCACAGAGAAAGGATTGAGGTTATGTTCCATCCTATATAAATTAGAATCATGGTAAATGATAAATGTTCTGAAATAATTTTTTTTTCCTTTGGCTTGTGTCTTTTTTTGTAGAAATCTTGGTTGCAATTTACTCACAGAACTGAGCTTTGGAACATTTCAGGCCTGGCATGGAATGCAGTTTTTACACAATTTGTAAGTGTAAACAACTATTTACATGTGAAAACCTCATACAATTATTGGTTAGCTGGGTATAAGCCCATTACGAACTCTGAAAAGTATATCTGCCGGGCGCGGTGGCTCAAGCCTGTAATCCCAGCACTTTGGGAGGCCGAGGCAGGTGGATCACAAGGTCAAGAGATCGAGACCATCCTGGTCAACATGGTGAAACCCCGTCTCTACTAAAAATACAAAACATTAGCTGGGCATGGTGGCGCATGCCTGTAATCCCAGCTACTCAGGAGGCTGAGGCAGGAGAATTGCCTGAACCCAGGAGGCGGAGGTTGCGGTGAGCCGAGATCGCGCCATTGCACTCCAGCCTGGGTAACAAGAGTGAAACTCTGTCTCAAAAAAAAAAAAAAAAAAAGAAAAGTATATCTTAGGATCCATTCGTTTTTCTCAAATCGGGAAACTAAGGTACAAAGGCCATGAGACTTAACATAGCTTATATATGACTTGCTCTGCTTTTCCTAGCTCTGACCTTTGGCATGGGCAAGAAAAGGCATCAAACAAATGACCCTCAAATTAGCCTTGTTGACAGGCGTGGTGGCTCAGGCCTGTAATCCCTGCATTTTGGGAGGCAGAGGCAGGCAGATCACCCGAGGTCAGGAGTTCAAGACCAGCCTGGCCAACACAGTGAAACCCCATCCCTACTAAAAATACAAAAAAATCAGCTGGGTGTGATGGTGCACTTTTCTGCTCCCTGGAGGACTTTGTGTTAAGCTTCATTCCTTGTAGCTAAATGTTGCAGACATTTAAGCAGTTAGAAACTGTGCATATGAGCAGGAATCAAAGTTAAATCCAAAGTGTAGGGCCAGGTATGGTGGCTGACACCTGTAATCCCAGCACTTTGGGAGGCTGAGGCGGCTGGATCACCTGAGGTCACAGGAGTTCGAGACCAGCCTGACCAACATGGCAAAACCTGTCTCTACTAAAAAGACAAAAATTAGCAGGGTGTAGTGGTATGTTCCTGTGATCCCAGCTACTCGGGAGGCTGAGGCACGAGAATGGCTTGAACCCAGAAGTTTGAAGTTGCAGTGAGCCGAGATTGTGCCACTGTCCTCCAACTTCCGCCAGGCTAGTCTTGAACTCCTGTGACCTCAGGCGATCCGCCCACCTCAGCCTCCCAAAGTGTTGAGATTACAGGTGTGAGCCACCACACCCCGGCCAAGATGGTGTTTATGTTCATTTGTGGTGCAAAAAAACAATTTGTAAAGAAAATACATCACCATAGCTTAATTCCATATACTTTCCTGACTACTCTTCGACCGTAAATACAAATTTTATTCCCTTGCAGCTCAAAAATTCTGTGATTTCTCTGTATAACATAACCGGCAAATCAGAGTGGGTATGTTCAATGGCCTGAAGGGGGCTTTAGACTCAAGGTGAAGATTCTCCTTTACGTCTGACTTTAGAAAGGACTTTCCACCTCTCTTGTATTTCAGAAATCTAGTTTCACACAGCTCATTTTGAGGTAGAGGGAGGCGTTCAAGAAGTGTGTGGACTAGAGCAACAGTTTCTGCAGATGCTCCTCTCTGTCCTCCTGAATTTGCTGATGCCTAACTTAGAAAAAAGACACTGAGGATCTGTTTTTCTTTTGCCCTCACATCAGAGAACAGGCTCATTAGGTCCCTCCACCAAGAGGTGTAGTTAGCATTAATAAAATGTCTTAAACTCACCACCGTTACTAAGCACTTTATAAAACTGGGAGTCCCTCATAAGAATCTGGTGGCTGAGAGCAATGGCTCACGCCTGTAATCCCAGCACTTTGGTAGGCTGAGGTGGGTGGATCACCTGAGGTCAGGAGTTCAAGACCAGCCTGAACAACATGGTGAAACCCCATCTCTACTAAAAGTACAAAAATTAGCTGGGTGTGGTGGCAGGTGCCTGTAATCCCAGCTACTCAGGAGGCTGAGGCAGGAGAATCACTTGAACCCAGGAGGCAGAGGTTGCATTGAGCCGAGATCATGCCATTGCACTCCAGCCTGGGCAACAGAGTTCGACTTAGTCTCAAAAAATAATAATAATAATAATCTGGCCAGCTTCACTATAATTATGTAGGCAACACCGAGAAAACACTGGAATCACAGCTGATAAAAATGAATGAATTCACTCAAAAACATTCACTCAGTGCCAGTCCATTTGTGCCAGGTACTGTACTGAGTCCTGGGGGTACAAAATCCATCTCAAAGACATATCAAGATGGGGACTTTCATACCTCAAAGAGGAAGCAGATGCTGTTGGGAAAACATAGGAGAGCCATGTGGACATCTGTACAGCAGGGTGACAAGGGGAGGACAAAGTAGGAATGGGTGGTGGGTTAAGGAAGACTTGAGGAGACACCACCTGGCTTATCTCTAGTTTCTGTGTTCATCTTAAACAACAGAAAAAGGCATTTGCTTCATGGTGATGAGAAAAATCAGAGCTAGCTGATATTGGAAATTACTAATCATTTCATGTAAACAGAATAGGGCTGTACCCTTCAAACTAAGCCACAGTTAACTTTCAAAGATTGACACAACGGTCTCAACACAGCAAATATATGTCGGGGGCTGGGCTCCTTTGTTTGGAGTCAAATTTTTCTAGTAAACAAAACTACACTGCAGAGTGATATTTGGCATAAGTGACATATAGCCCCATTGCATTTTGTTCCAAAGACAAATTGCCAAGTAGTTTTATGACCAATATGGCACCATTCTGTGGTGTTTTTAAGTTGAAAGAATGTATTTTCCTGCATTACATAAGTTCGAAGAAAAAAAAGAGGTCCCAGCTGTGGTGGATTGATGGTGAATTGAAAAGAGCCCAAGCTTCAGGACTTCTCACTTGCACAGGCCCCTTCCAAGGTTCTGGGAGGGCCCCTGGCAAATTTTGTATTCATGATTTTTTATGTTTTCACTAGATAAGGTTCAGACCCCACAAAATTCTGAAATCGCCCCTGGGTTCCAAAAGTTACAACCCAGTAAATTTCTCGAATGAAGCATCTATGTTATTGACCAATACTGACTGGCCAAGCTAGTGTGGTAGGGTCAGTCTATTTTGAATCTGAAATTCATCTCAAAAGCATACCAAGAGCTTATTAGTGGACTTAACTGGGTTCTGCTGGCCCAAGTGCAGTAAAGCCAAACAGCTATATCAAGGGTTTGTATTGGGGAAAGGAGGGCATTTATTTGCAAGGCATCCAAGCAAGAAGGACCAGGCAGCTATCAAAGTCCTCCTCTGAATGGTAGCAATAATCATATCTCTTACAGCTGAAATCATGAATGAAATGGTTTATGGAAAGCCAGCAATGATTGATCATCCTAAATGTTAAGTATGTTTATATTTTTTCCCTGACTTTAAAGTGCGTCTCCTTCATTTCCATACACAGGTCTAGTCTGATGGCTTATCTTTAAAAATTATTCGTCATTTCATTGGTTCTAACAATACAAACTCCATAACTTTAGAAACTGGATGACTTTGCAGTGTAGAAAAGCTATACTTTATTCAGATAGAGTACACTCACATGCTGGCTTGTCTGTGGCACATCAATATCATGCCAAGAATGTAAGCACAAAGAGAGAATAAGAGGAAAATCCAGGTTTTATCCCACTATTAGAATATCAGTGATGTAGGTGCGGCCACACTGTGATGGCAAATTGAGCTTCAGTCACAAACATGCCTTGTTGTTCCTGCTGACATCAGCTTCCTTTACATAGCGGCAGATGCACAAAAGTTTGTACAGTTGAGGGTATTGTCATCACGTTTTGGTATGTACTGGAACAGAGAGGCATAAACATTAAAGATGAAAAGAACAACTCGGGTCTGTCCTTTGGGGTGATTTAGGGTGGCTGTTTAAATTTATAATGGTTGAAAAGTCTTGAGATTGTCACACCTGGCAACTCTTACACTTTTCTTCTCTCACTGCAGTTTATTCTTCTCTCCTGTGTAACAAGCTGTCTTTTCGCAGAAGCTTAACATTTCTTCCTCTGCCCCATAGCAGTTTTTCAACACTTATATTTATTAGGTGCTGTTTATGTTCTAGACACCTAAGTGCTTATACAAATGAGATAACATGTCCAAAGTTCTTAGAATAGTGCTTGGCATATGGCAAATTCTCACTGCATGTTACCTCCTATGAGAGCTCATTTTCATTTTTCCAACAACTCTGTGATGTGGATATTATTATCATTTCTATTTTGCAGATGAGGAAGTTGAAACTCAGAGATGCTGGGTAATTTACTTAGGTTCACACGGCTATTAAGTGGAACCTTAATAGGTTACACTTACAAGTGTAACCTATTAAGAACCTTACAAGAACTGCTTACAAGCTTTGCAAGTAATTTTCTATGCAGCTCTTAGTTCCTCTGTAGTAGGAGCCGAATGATGACAATTTAGCTTTGTGTGCATCGTATCCTACTTTGTAACTTGAATAGGACCTTTAGAGCAGTGTCCTCCATTTCCCTCTGAGAATCCCATGCTTCTGGAGCTCCTGACTGTACCACTCCTGGGCATCCCCAGGGTTTATGCTCACTGGCCAGTGCTGGTGTGACATCATGATGGCTGAGCACCATCATGGGCTGTGTCCAGCCGACTGCTAGGTGCTATACTCATTTATTCCTCAAACTGCTTTGGACTGTAAATGCTACCCAGAAAGATTCATGTTTGTTACTCAAGTCACTTCACCAGAAAGTGACAGAGCCAGAATTCAAACCCAGGTCTACCTGATTCTTGGCTATTCTTCATTGCCAGGGAGTCTTCTTCAAGATTATTCTCAAGAGTTTAAGATACAGGCTCATGGCCAGGCATGGTGGCTCATCCCTGTAATCCCAATACTTTGGGAGGCTGAGGTGGGCAGATCATTCAAGCTCAGGAGTTCAAGACCAGCCTGGCCAACATGGTGAAACCCTATCTCTACTAAAAACACAAAAATTAACCAGGTGTGGTGACAGACACCCATAATCCCAGCTACTCTGAAGGCTGAGGCAGGAGAATCACTTGAACC